GGGGGGGGGGGGCGCTAGTGCTGGGCTTCCTCCTTCCCCAAGAGCCCCTACACCACCAAAATGCATCTACAGGGGACCTTCGGGTATACAAAACATAGGCATCAAATGGTGAGGGATGGGGCACGATTCTGAGACAAAGCTTAGGACCCTTCACAGTGAGTGTTAGACACAAGGATCCCCCACTTCCCTAATTTAAAAGGAGAGCAATGTTTTTCTAACAGGGATGTAATTCCAGCTTGGAGATCAGTGCCAGCCCAGCACAGTCCTCCCAGAACCACACTGGGCTGGCAACGAGTGCAGACACACTGACGGGTACTGTGTGCATCCTGCTGGAATGATGAACCAAGGGACTGAGGAACTGGCCACTTAGCTCTAAGAAGTGGGTGGGACTGGGTATGGATACCTGACAAATAAGGGCTTAAAGAGCATGTCACCCCATGGCCCACCATCAGGAACCCTGGTTTTTCTGGCAGCCATACCCTCAGCACTGGAGCAAGGAAGAAAGTCAGGACAAAAGTGTGGGGAGCCCCAAAGATCTCAACCTCTGAGGGGTCTGGCCAACCAGGAAGGCATATCTACCTTAAAATACATTGAAAGACTGAGCATTAAGTACTTCAGTTTCAAGTTTTGGGGGAACCTAGAATGTTTGCCAGAGGGAAAGGAACAGCTGAGAAGAAAAGACCTGACAGAAAGCTCTGCCCTGGGGTCAGTGCCCAGGCAAAGGGAACCAGCCCAAACAAAGCACTTACCAGAAAAATCTCAATGGTCCCCAAAATATACATGGCCCCTGCGAAGGTCGTGCCCAGATAGAAGCAGAGGCCCACGGCCCCTCCAAACTCCGGCCCCAGGGCCCGAGATATCATGTAGTATGACCCGCCAGCTGCAAAAAACGCCAAACAGGAAACAGGGTTAAGGACCCACCATGTACTGTGAACATGGACTTCACAGAACAGACGGCAGTTGTGACTAAACAGGGTCATGATGAAAAACAGCCACAAGCAGAGGATAGAGCCCATAAGTCTACACATTTTGATGTAAGTGCAACACTTCCATTCTCTTAACTTCTGCCCCAAAAGGCCTGAGAACCCAGGGCTGCTTAAGCATCTTTTTTGTATCACCCCCAGAGTGCAGCTGACACCCAGGTCCCACAAGTCTGTCCCTGGCCATTCTGTCGGACAGCCGAGTCCATGCTCAGACACCAACCTAGAGACCACCGCATGACTCTGGGAAGCCTGAAGAATTTCTTAGGTGTGCCTTTTTTCTGAAAAGCAAACCTAAAAGCCTATCTGCCACTAGAATCATCTCTCCAAATGAGCGCGTCACAGCTCCTCCTGGAGTGGGTGTAGACTGAAGGCAGACTGGTCCCCATGTCTGGGCCAGTAGACCCACAGGGGGCCTCATGCTCCATGGCTAGTGGGAGGACAGCCAGCAGGAGGATGGCCAGCAGAAGAATAGCCTCTACACCAATGCTGCTCTTGGAGTTATGGGAAGTTCTGGGGGAGGGGCAGCTATTTAAGGACTTGAGGTGTAAAACATGCTAGACCTCACTTATATACACACAGGCTGCACAAGCTGCAGGGGAACAAGGTGGCATCATTTCAGGTCCTTGAATCCAGGTGGCAAATAAACTAGGGGCATTTTTGCCTGCACCTTGGCTAATGAAGAGACAACACAGCCTAAGGTACAAACTGGGCACAGCACTGGCCCACTTGCCTACCCGCCTTCCCTTCTCTGCTGAGCTCACGGCCCTGCAGGCACTGCCCTCCCAGGACCAGGGATGGAAGCTGCAAAATGAGGGGAAACAAACAGCCATGATTTCAGGGCTCAAATGCCACAGTGAGCCCTGCAGGAAACAGAACAGAGCTCCCCCATCCCCATCACCCAGGCAGCCCCTTCCATGTTTTTACCCCTCAGTCACACAGCATTAGAGGCAATAAATGAAGCCTGTGGTGCTTTAGTTTTGTCCATTTAAAAACAGAATGATGGTTTGTGGGAAATTAAACTTCAGAATCAAATGGACACATCTGGTCATAAAATGCTAGCCTCTTGTCCAGACAGCAAAAGCAAAAGTTTGACAAGAAAAAATCTTGGGGGTGTTGATGTGGGTGCCTGCTCCGAGGAGAATCCCAATTGTACAGCATCCTCTGAGCTCTTGGAAAGGCGCTGGGGGACAAGCCACAAAATAGGCCCCTATCCTGGTATTAGAAAAGCCCCACAGCGCCCTTGGGGGAAACATGGGAAGAGGCCCCAGGAAACCAGGGGCACTAGCCCACGAGAATCCTTGTGCAGGTGGGAGCCAAAAGCATCACTGCCCAAAGGCGGGGGTCACTGCAGACAGAGCTTCTGGAAGGCCTGGCCAGGCTAAGGAAGTGCCTCTCCCACCCACCCGACCCCTCCAGATGTGGAGATCTCAGTGCTCAGACATGAATGATCAGCAGCAACCTCCAGGCGGGTAAGGGCACGTCCAACTGGGCTTTTGGGGACCGGGCCCTACTTCCTGCCTCACCTGCAGCCACCTTGGGTGAAGGGCTAACGTTAAGGTCATTGTCAAAATGAAAGTGGAGCATGCACTGAATCCACAGCAGGGCTCAGTTCAGTTACTACCCACAAAAGGAAGGCTTCGTTTCAGACCACCCACCGTCCAGCACCCCCTTACCTGGGACCACGCCATTGGTGGCAATCGCACTCATTGAGATAGCAGTTAGCATTGTCTGCAAAAAGACAGGTGACCCTTTTAGAAGAGCATTTCTGAGGGCAACCCCAGAGATGAGAGCACAGCAGCAGGTCTGGGGCAGAGCCCAGCAGGCCCAGCTGCCTGCTTCCCAGCTCCTGATCACAAAAGGGCTGCTGAGTAACCAGCAGGAGAAGCTTCAGACATTCAGGACTGCAGCCCCGAACCCCATGTTCTCTCCCACTTAACTCCCAAAACTGAGCTCCTACAGGTTGCCCAGAAAACACTTGACTCGGGACCCCATCCAGCACTGAAGGGCCAGCTTCTACCTGGGCTCCCATCCTCTATAAGTATAAGGGGGACTCTGCCTTGGATATAAGGTTCCCATCTGCTCAGGAAGCAGCCACATCCATTGGTTGGGGAGTAACTATTTTACAACCTAAGGACCAGAAAGAACAGCCTGGAAAGCGAAGGCGCCTGTGACCGTCATGACCTGGTTCTTGCTGGGCCATGTGCTACCTGAACAAGCCCTCCCCCCATTACCCTGCTTTTTATCCTTTTTGGTTTGTGTCTGGCACTACTCCAGGTACTTCCAAACTCTTAAACATAAGAAATATGCTGTGACCAGGGGAGAATGCCGCGGTGACGACACCACAGCTCCGGGAAGCCTAGGGCAGCAGGGAAAGTGGCCTGAGAGGAGCCTGGAGGACGCCCACTCATCTGCATTGTTTGAATTCTTTAGACAGCCGTCTCCAGGTGACACAGCTTAATCACCCTCCTAACAATAAAGGAAGTAGGAAAAATCAGGGCCGGGAGGAGGCAGTGAGGAGCATCCAGAGGGTAAACGAGATGCAACTGAATGGTGGAAAGAGATTACGTGTCGCTAACAGACAGGAACACAGGTGCAGAGGCCAAGTGCTGAGTCTTGTGTGCCAGGGTCTGGGGCTCAACAAGTCACTAACACATGTCCCTTCCTATAAAAAGGGTCCTGAAAATGTCTAGATGAATCCAACTGGAAGGGGCTCTGGTTGAAGTGCAGGACCCCTTTGAGTGGTGACAGTGCCCGGTGAAAACCCTCAGTCACTGGGTTGCCCTCTGTACTTCTGCAGATGCAACTGAAGAAGACTCCCTGGGGCTGATAGACAGCCTGGTCACAGCCCCCAGGCTACACCCATTTTCCCCATGATCACACCGGCACCAGTGAGGAGGCTGCCCTGGGATAGAATCCACATAGTCAACCTCAGATCAAAGGGCCTGGGCTCTGAAGAGTCCAACGTTGTTCACACGGTCAGGTCTCTGGACTCCAGCTACCACTGCCCCAAAGGCAGAAACGCCACACTTGGCAACAGGCTGGGTCACTCACGCAGGTGCAGCACATGAACACGATGAGGAAGGACTCCAGGACACCGGCCACGCCCACAATCCAGGTCAGCCGCAGGAAGAGGATCACACCGAGAATGTTCTGCAGGCAGGGCAGGTAGACTCCGATGAAGGTGCCCATGCCTGGGCTCTAAGAGAGAGAACAGCAGTTCCAGGGAGGCCATGCCCACACCCAGAAGGGGCCAATCTCTGCCCCATTCCCCAGGGATCCCTCCTCTAGGAGCCCTGGCTGTCCTCTCAGGCCCCAGGGAGAGGTCCCAGGAACAGGAGGGCAAGGAAAGGAACAGTCAAGGGTGGAGAGCTTCAACTGCCTGGACCTGGAAAAGTGGTTGAGGGAGGACCACACCTCAGAAGGAACAGAGGCTCCAGGAGATTCCAGAGTAGGACACTGGCTGCCCAGGAGCAGGGTGGCCTTCTGGGACAGACCAGACCATATCATCACCAGCAAGCAGAGAGGGGAGCAGCCAGGCTGGGCCTCCCTCCTCTGTGAGGGGTACAGCAGGAAGGTGGAAAATTTGGGAAAAGATGAGAGCATAAGGCTCTAGGCTCTGGGCAACGCAACTGCAGGTCTGGGTTCTAGACCCTCAGGAGACCACAATCTGAGAAGTAAGGGCCATGGAGGATGAGACAGTAATGTTCCCCAAAACCACAGATGGTGCAATGATACCAACTCCAGGCAGAAATCAGCAATGTCTCAACCCACATGGAAGAAGTGATCATGGGGCACCATCAAGAGTTCAGAGAACTGGCTGCCTGGGCGCACAGCGTACTCCTTTCCCCAAGTCCACAACTGCAAGTACAGAAACATGGCAGGGGTGCCACTGGATGTGGGGTAACTGCGGGGTGCTGCTGGATATGGGGTAACTGCAGGACAGGGCAGTGCTGGGAGGGTCTACTGTGATCCTGGAAAGACTATGGGATGAGCAGCCCAGAGGACAGGGTGGCGACATGGCCAGGAGCCACCACAGTGGTACCAGCCCTCCCTGTATCCTGGGATGATAGCCAGTGTGACGACACAGTCAGGCAGCACACTTGGGATTTCAGGACATCTGGCGGGAAAGACAAGATGCTGTTTAAGATGCTGTTTCATGGGGAAAGGAAGCTTTCCTGTGAATGACAAGGATGACCAGAAACAAGGACCTCATGTGGCAGCTCAGAGAGATGCTACAGCCCTTAAGTTCAGGGAGACATAGCCCAGCCCCAGGAACGTGGCTGGAGGGCAAATACCCAAAGAAGAACGGGCTGAACCCCTATTAAAGGAAGTAGCTGGGCTTCTCAGGTGAAAATGGAGCTGTCAACAGACAGGAACACCTGCCACTGAGTGTAGACAAGGCCACAGAGCTCCCACAGATTCTAGAACCCTGGGGAGAATGACCTAAGAGAGCAGCCTGGGGAGTGGGGAGCCAGGGTCAGAAAGCCCACATAGACCCAGAGCCTGAGTCCTGGACTCAGGGCAGCGCCTTTAATGCCTGGCCCAGAGCTGCAGCTCCTGGCCAGGGCACTCCTCCCAAGCCCGCCCACCCATGGGATAACTGTGCTTTTTGTGTAAAGTATTATGGGTCTTACAGACAGGGTGGGCCTATTTCAATGGTATAAAATTGAGAATGGAAATGCAGTGACAGTGATGCTGGACAAACTGCTGGCTTCTATTTTATAATCTTAGTGAACATATGAAGAGATCAATAAACCACCACAGGAGGCTCAGAGTAGCTGGGACTTCAGGTCTCATGTGGGCCCCGCCTGCCTGGAGCCAGTTCTGTGCCCAGCAGCTGACATGGTCCTGAGTCACCCTGGAAGGGCACAGTGGCCTGCAGTTCTCTCATAAAAGGCAGCTTTGAAGGATCACCCAATCTTAGGCCCTGGAGGCGCCAGGCCTTGGAGATGGAGCCTGGGGGGAACAAACGACCCATCTCTGGGAATGAGCTCCTATGTCAAGTTGGTCAGAGAGACAATAAGAGACAGCCTCACCTCCCTTCCCAGGGGACCTACACTCAGTCCTAAGTGGGGTGACTAAATTCATCCCAACTGAAATCTGTTCACACAGCTACACAGTCCCGCTGAGGATCATGGGGTAACTATCCCTCCTGTGACTGAAACCCAATCCTGTTCTAGGTCCCAATCTGGCAGTGGGTCCACACCACGTGCCTTGCAAAGATTCACCAGGCTGACCACTAAGGCTACATCTCAATAAAAACTTCAATGAGGGGTCTGGGCTGCATTTCTGTCTGTGCTGCAAGAACATCTGTGACCCGCTGGGCTGTGCCATGTGGCCTGAAAGGAGCTGCAACAGCAGGTGGAGGCCCAGGTGGTGCCACTAGCTGAGGCTGAGGGTCAGTTCCGGGAAGCATTCAGACCCAGGCCCCTGCGGGAAAGCATCTGTTTCCTGGAGCAGGCTGATGGCTCCCTGGAACACAAGCTCCAGTAGACAGAGGGACAGCTGTGTACTGTGTGCATGAACAGCTGGACTCCCGCAGTGGAGCCAAAGCAAGAGCCCGTGAAACCACAGGCAGTGCCCCGAGCACTCGTCCGAAGCTGTAACCTCCCACATGGCATCACCTGGGGTTGGTATCCCTTGTGCCTTGCCTTGCAGGGGAAGGGTGGTGGCTCCATGAACAGCCAGGGTAGCAGCAGGCTCCTGAGGAGCCAGGAAAATCATGGCAAGGAGACCAGGAAAGGTGCAGTCAGGCACACCACTGCTGCAGAAGCCACTGCCCTCTGCCTAGGAAGGTAAACAGGGCTGGACATGGAGGCCACATCTCATGTCCCATGTCCCCCGTCTCTACCACTTTCATCCTGAACAAGCAGCTCTTCTGGAACACAAGGAGCCAATGCCCTCAAGTGTCAGGAAATGAGTGTTAATCCTACTGGGTTTACAGTCAGAGGGAGGAGAGAAGGAAGAGGGTTTTGGCTTGGAGCCCAAAGGGCCAAGGTCAGGCCAGGCATAAGCACAAGAGACGCACCTAGAGGGAGAGTGAGCAAGGCTGTGTGGTGGCAGAGCTCCTGGCACCTTGGCCCCAGCACCAGCCCAATGGGCAGGGTGGACACGGTGGGGTGGGGAAGAGATGGGCAGAAAGGCAGCCATTGGGATCCCTCCCATTTTGTCCCAGCTCAGCACTTTGGGGTCACTCAGTTGTCCTATCCAGCCGGCAGAACACTGAAAAAAATGCCAGACCCCCTTGGGGCTCAGGCCCCACAGAGCCTGTTGTCCCATCTGATAGGCAACTGCCCCGATTCACAAGCCCCTCCCTTCAGAACACAGCACCCTTTGTGTGGTGTTCTCAGAGTGG